CGGGGCACTTAGGGGTCACACATCTACAGTCATGGGAGCATTCACGGAGTCTCATAAAAGGTGTCCCAGCATGCTGAGGAACGAGTGACACACCAAGGATTTGTCGTACATGCAGACCAAATGGACAATTGTAGCGGTAAGGGATGGTGATATGACTGTTAGACTCTAACCGGATTCTCTAAGAATGTTCGGCTGACCCCATGTATATTCAGCCCTTCACACCATTCCTCTCACAGGGTACTACTCTTTGTAATTATCTGGAGACCCCTTTAGCTCCTGGATCTTCTGGGGTAGAGTCTGAGTCCAGAACTGCAGCCTTCTGGCCTTCAGGGCTTGGTCCACAGCAGGCTGGATGTCCAGCTGCAGGTACTTCTCATTATCATTCATCATGGGCCAGTTGGGTAGATCCTTACTGTTGGGGTTCCTGCGGATATGCCAGCCATCAGGGAATGGTAAGATCATGCTCATCATTGTGATTCCCCAATTTGTCAGGGTAGTAGGCTAATTGGGCCAATAGTTGAGGGGACAGATGAGGCACGTGTCCTTACACAGGGATACAAGTGTCACCTACGAGTGTCTGTTCCATGTGTGGCAAGACTACCTGGACAATTTTGGGTCTCCCACTCAAAGGCAAAATCTAAAGAACAATACCGTAGTTCCTATCAAGGCATTGCAGTGTGACCAGTAACCAATACACAATGTACCTAAGTGTGCCCTGGGGTGAGGAGGACTCTATCATGTGATGAGTTATCCATGCATGCTAATGAAGTCATCAACCACCAATGGAACCCTACATAGGGACCCACCCCTGAGGAGGTTGAGGGAGGGGTGTGCTCTCACCCATATCGTGCAAAGTTGGTCCAGTACTTCATCATTCTCCTGCTCAGCAGCTTCTCCTCCTCAGTGAAGTCAGCTGTAGCCATGGGGAAGACAGAGGTCCGTGTCCCAGCCACCCCATGCAGCTGCCTATTCCTGCTCCGCAATCACCATCTTTCTTGTAGCCTAACCTTGAACTCTAGGCCTCTTACCCTCCTTCATCACCAAGGATCCCGGGGCCACCCACACCTCTAATTGAATGCCTCCAGGTTCAGTTCTGCTCAGTGTGTTCTCATTCCATCTAACATAGGTGTGGTGGCTCAAATAATATGACTCCTATAGACTCATATATTTGAATATGTGGTTCACAGTTAGTGGAACTTTTGGGGAAGAATTGGGAGGAATGGCTTTGCTGGAGGAGGTGTACTACTGGAAGTTGGCTTTGATGTTTAAAATCCAGTCAGGTCCAATTACCTCTCTCTGCCTTGTGTTTGTAGATCAGGATGTAAGCTTTAGTTAGCTACTGTTCCAGTGCCTTTGTCTGCCTGAACGCTGCTATTCTCCCATCCCTGATGGTCATAGACTCCAACTAACCCTTTGAACCTGTAAGTCCCAATAAACCCTTTCTTCTATAAGCTGACTTGGTCATAGTATCTCATCGCAGTAATATAAAAGTAATTAAGATGATAGATTATATTTGGTAGAATCCAGATTCTAATCTGAGTATAAGTTTTTGAGGATGGAAATGATGCTTACTTGATTATGTCCTCTCCCAGAGCCTTGATTTTCTCAACTGGACTGAGAGCTCAGTTGCCCATCAAGTAGCCACCTGTGACCCCATCCAGCTCATGAAACACAAGAAAGACTCACGTTTTATGCCCCAGTGGGAAGACCCAAAAACAAAGGGAATCTCATCACCATGGTCAGCTTTCACATACGCTGGCCTCGTATCTTTTTCATAGCTGGGCACATGTCGGAATTCATAAAAGTAGACAGTGGCACGAGAGCCTAGAGGTAAGGACACATGGTTACATAGTATTCTCTCACCTGTAACTGTCCTGCCTAACGGTTATTGATAAGTTATGTCGGTATACAGTTATCTGGTGTTATAATTGTCAAGTGGGTGGCCCCAGGCTGGAGCACTAGTTATGGGAAAGCCTTTGGCTAAACAGTGACCCTGGCCTTCCCAGCTGAGTAGGTTTGGCAAATCAATGGAGTATCAGCAACCTGTTTCCTTATTTGTATCTGGATAAGATATCACTTCCCTTTCTTACACTAGAATGAAGAAATACTGATGTAATGCCCCCCGGGGTTTAGTACCAGAGATGTGATCCAGACACAATTGGGGACCTGGACACTATTAAGCTCATCTGGGACCCATGGCTCTGAGCTCCTTTCCACTAGGCCTCATCACAGATGCACTCACATTGAAACTTTGCTACTTGTAGTGAAGGCATAACGAACAAGAAGTCTGCTATCATTTCCTTGTACTGTATTTGGAGGGTCTGGGCATCTTCAGTGTTGTTCATATACTCTTCCATTAGCAGGTCACCACACTCAGGAGGTAACATCTACACCAGGGAATCAGGAAGAATGAGTTTAGGCAGGTTCTTGTTTTGATAGGCAGCATCTCAGTGTGGAGAATGTGGCCACGGATAAGATATGGTATAGAAAAAAAAAAAGATATGGTATAGAGGGAAAGGTATAAGTTCTGGGGTGAGCCCTCCACAAACCACACACACACAGATCTTTGTAGGCATGCTGTCTGGAAGGGTACATAGTGGCTCTTTCTATTGGGGGCAAACTCAAGGTATCTCACCATCTTTGTTGCTGTGTTCTTCAGAATAGCCGGCAGGGTCTCTCTGGTTATGTCCTTTATTATTTGATCAGCGCCCATGATCTGGGAGAGAGAGGACAATTTTCTATAGTATATGGTGGGATAGATATGGACCAAGTTTCCTCTGCTCACCTTATGAGTCCCCAGACTTCCAGAGAATTGGAACTGTGCCTCACCATAGGGAGAAGCCAGCCATACTCATCATTGTTGACCCCAATGATGCTGGGGACAGGGCGAAAATCCACAGAAGCCAACAACTCTTGGGGATGCCTGGGGAAGAACTCTCCATCCACCACAGCAGAGATGGACTGGAAGACCTGAGGGACATGCGAGGGACATCGAGGTCAATTCTGATGTCCACTGAGAAACCCAAACCATTACACCTGCCCCCATTTAATTGTCTCAGGATGTTTTTCCAACCCTGATAAAGATTCTACATATTTTAAGATATTTGGAATTCATTTTACATACACGATTAAGAGGACGCCAAACCATGGAGCAGAAGTAAGTTGTTTAGAGTAGTAAGGACTGACTCTCTCACATCCCACTGACCAGGTCCTCCAAGTCACACAACTCTCCCAACCTTGTTAATAGCCAGAATCTCCTCTTCACTCTTGTTTCTCAAACAGTGCACCAGGGTTTCTGAGTCGGTAGTCTCACAACCAGATAAATTGGCCACTTTCTGTAAAGGGATCAGGCAGGAGTTGATCCATCCTTTCAGGCAAGTATAGTAGTTTTCTCAACCCCAGTCAATTGGCATTGTGCCCAAATATCACATTGCACTTTGTTTTGTTGAAATAAAGTATGTAATTCCCATTTTATGTTGCTCAGATGTGACAGCTAGAGAGGTAATTCTACCTCATTCTTGGAATACCAGGATCACACACTTGTTTCTCCATGCAGCTTTTTGTGGTTTCTGAGGGAATTTGAACTCGGTCCTAATGTTTTTACCTATTGAGCCATATCGTCATCCCATATGTATTTGTTTCTGAACATGATGGACACTACAAGGTACTTATACATGGTTATTACACCCAGCCTGTATAGAGAGAAATGGATTCTAACCTTGAATCTCTCAGAAAGTACTGAAAGATGCTATTTCTCACATCCCTTGTTTTCCCACTTGAGAAAACTCCCAGAGTACCAGAGGGTGGAGGCTGAGGCTGCAGGGTCATCAATGGCTGAAGTGACTCACTGTGTAGACCACCTCAGAGGTGTTAGAGATCA